AAACTTAAATGTAAAAAGGAAAAAGGGAAATCCTGTTAAACTTGTGAGAAAAATTCAGAGTTCCTATTAAAAATTATTGTTCTCAAGGAATTCGTTCCTCATCAAGTTAAATTTCGATATTAACCAATCGTTGAATTTAAAAATTTAAATTGATGGGATCAATCCCCTTGATTTTTCTTCATTAGCATGTATAATACATAATTAAAGTTTCAAAGGAAGATTATTCAATGCTTATTTAATTCCTCTTGGCATTTACTCCGATCCCAAGCTATTTCCGAAAGGTAGGCTTAAAACAGGAGAATTTAATACTCATAGTTTGCACTATTTATTTGATAATTACTATCAAATATTTATTGGAAACGTGACGTAACATCTTGTGAAATCTAGGGGGTTTCTTTGAACGTAATTTCCACGTTCATTTCTCAATTTCCCACCCCTGAGACCCAATTACCGGCCCGGCAAAAATAATTATCTGTCGATCGACCCTACCATTATATTTTTTGAGGGTCTACAGGGGCGGACATTTAGTTGCCCATAAAACGCGTTTTTTCTGGGGAATTTCCTAGGAACATGTCGGGCAAAAATCCCTCCAGCCGGGCCTTAATAAAGAATGATTAGGTCGAAAGACAATTGGTTTCCCGATTAGAATAGGGTTAACAAGAGGATATCAAGGTTGAATTGGTCATCATAACATGGAAAAGACTCATCAAAAGAAAAGCTTTATCATTGATAATTTTTCTAAGAGTGCGAAAAATAAGAGCGAAGGTAGGGAAGGCATAGAAATATTCTATTTAACTGTGAAAGCGTCTACTGTGTGAGCTTTCAGATGCGGACATCGCGAATGAAATGGAAAACACACAAAATAAATATAGGCAAATAATTCCACAGAAAATTTTTCTAACTCATTTCCGATTTGTTCAAAAACCGTCTGAAAAATGTACCATTCAGTTTCTGTCTCGATATTACGAGAAGCTCTGTGTACATGAAAATTTTCCGCTGAGGGAATGTAAGACGCTTTCACCCAAATCTTTCTTTCCTCGCGCCATCTCTATATCGCCTTTGCTAATTTACTTAAATGCGGCAATTGTACACCTGCTGCTCTATTTATATAGGAAATTGCAGAGTATTCTTTAATGAAAGAAGTAGTTTGACATGGTCAATTTTGTATGTGAAACTTTCCAAGGCAATCAAAGTGGCCAATAATACAAGATAATTTATATGATACTTCTTTTCTTTCTCATTCCACAAATAAGAAGCTGATACGAAAAAAATTTTCAATTTCAAAATTAATTTTCCCGATTGGACTTGCACCGATTATTATGGTTTCTGTCCACTAGGCTAGATCCTGCATCATACATGTCTTTATGAAGACTTGGTCCTCATAGTTTCCACCATTGAATTTAACGAATAAAAATTTTTGTCTCTCCAGTGAATTTTACATTTTATAGTGAATCGACCCATAAGCTACCGCTGGACAAGGCGCCATTATTATGTCGAAAACCTTCGCGAATCCGCGGATTTTGCCACTTTTCCCAAGTGTGACAGATCGAATGAGTTCTGTTGTTTGTTTTCTCTTTTTATCCTCTAACTTCAATGAATAATCAACAGAATCGATTAGAAAATCTCAATATTTGCCATTTCGATTGGCAATCAAAGAACTTTTATCCTAATTTATTAAAAAACCGAGATATTCAAGAAATTTCACGGGTTACTTTATTATGGATTGGCATGACTTTTGTGTTTTATCAATAATTCAAAAATCATCGAGATATAATAAATCCTTTAAAATAAATCCAATAAAAATCCCTTGGATCTCAGATAATTAACTACCGGCTTCATTACTTTTGTGAAAATATATAGACTGGTAGAAAAACCAAAGGGAAGGCATTTGAATGCGAATAATTTTCTTCTAAATTGGAATCTTGGAATTTTTCCGTCATTTAAAAAAATGGGAACAACAAAATAAACGTCTTTTCGGTCAATCGTAACCCATGAAGTCACCTGGGGATATTAGGCAGAGGGCGGATTCAATGTCTTCAAGTTTGAAATGAGGAGGGCCAATTTATTGATTTAATTGTTTTAGATTAATAATACAACGCCCACTGCCATCTCGATCTGAAAAAATCAGAAAAACGTATTTCTGCACAGTGAAAAATTCACAATCGCGTCTTTTAACAATAAATTATCAATTTCTTTTTGAACTTGTCCCAATTGTTCTGCAGTAAATACTTGTTCCGCTGGGCGAGTATTTTGGACTGGAATTACAATAGAAGGAATTCTATGTCTTTGTAAATAATCTGAAATATATTTGTCTGACGAGATCACTCTCCATTCCTGCACATAGAAAGATAGGCAGCCAGCTGGTTTTTGTACCTGGCTTATTTCTTGGGCGACGATTGGCTCGTCGTCTGCTGAGTCATCGTTTCGGCAAACTTCTGCGTTGAGCTCTGGTAAGGGCCCTTCTTTTTGAACTGGAGAAATCGTGATTTTGGACGACAACCCACCTAATGCTGACTCGCGGTAGATATTTTCAGTTTCCTTGCACTCAGGCTTTCAGAGACGCTTTTGGTTCTCTTTTATCTGGGCACATGCTTTTTCTATCTCCTTAGCATCCTTGACTTTATCCTTCAAATCATTTCCGTATAGCCATTCATCGAAAATGACTGCATTCACTGTTGGTTCAATAGACTTACTCAGTTGAGGAATGATGACTTGCGAGCTATTTATTGCTGATAGAAAACTTCTGTGAGGATCTGTCCAACGTGACTTAGATAATCGGTGAAGACTTCATCATCTAGGCCTTCTTTTGGTGGCTCCAGCAGCATGGAGACCACAGCGGGCAGGGCTGTCCCTTTTCAATTCTGTTTCTCTAAAAAATGTGGATGTCGCTTTTTGGCAATTATATAATTTCAGACAATAGTAAGACGATCGCGAGGTTAACTTTTGGGGCTTCTGTGAATAGATCCCCTTTCCGATATAATTGGAAAATTTCCTGCTTAATCATTTCTAGAAGGCCTTGCTTCAGCCATTCCGACCAAGTGTTTTTAAGCTCTGGATGATATTTAATATGGTTGAATTTTCATTCATCCGGATCAACACCGACTACTTTTAGGATATCGTTCTGTAATGTGGCCTCATTTGGCACATCAGCTTTTTCTTGATTGACAGCCACATCCATTGGATTTTCCTCGTGGTTATTTTCTTTATTCCCTTGGTCTATAAGTAAGATGAAGAAAAGAAGGAATGTACTAATTAGTTAAGAGAAGATCCAAAGTGTATAGCAAAACATGGAGAGAAGAAAGAAAAGACAACATTTATTGTGTATATTGGTGGCGTGTAGCTACTACTTTTTGGATTTCGTGTGGAATTTTGAGATTTTTTTTACCCTTCAATAATTCATCACCCTCCGCTCCCTTTGGCGGTTGAGGCTGCACATTTTGGTGGGCCAGAAGCTCCACTACTTTAGTGAGAATTTTTATCTGTGTCTGTAGATCGTCCAATTTTTGGCTTTTATTTCAACGATGATCGTGACCGAGACCTTTTCTTCTTGTGGTCTGCCATTATTTAACACTGATAATTTTCTACTTATTTTTGTTTATAACAACTTGTGTAATATTTTTTGGGGACAAAACACAAAAGAACGTGTCGATATTTTGGAACAGCGAAACAATATGAGAAAACAATTCAGGAGCGGACGCCAGGGGAGCCTGTGCTCCAAATTTAAACTTTACCGTTTGAACTTTATGATATAGAGCATGACAAGCATGACTACAGTAATCATAATTGAAAAAGAGACTTGCAGTATAATATACTATTAACAGATCACCATTTTCTATTCAATAGTTGTTGTACATTTTATCTTGTACAATTCAATAAGTCGCCAGATCGCTGATAAATGGCAATAATATAGAGTTCATAAATATGGCGACGTTAAAAAACCATTGAAAAAATTAATCATAACGTAAGCTCATGGATTTCAATCGTTTCAGCACTAATCTGTTGTTATTTGCAACTGTCTAAATGAAAATAAGAAATTAAGGATTGAACAAATGATTTGTACCTTGACGTGATTGTTTATGAGCATCCCAAAGTCTTGATGCTCTGTCCAGTAACTCTGATCGTTCCACACACCCACGAAAGTCAACACGATTCTTTCTAAGAAGATCTTTTAATTGTTTTACGTTCAGATACTCTAGATCTGAACGTACGTGGATATCCGCAATTTTAATAGTCCCCCTCCACTGCGTTTGTGAAAAGAAAAAATTGAAATATTCAAATATTTCATGTGACATAATTCGGTCCAAAAAATTGTCCATATTTTATTAATTATACATAAAACTGTAAAAAGATCATATGCAATTGCAAAAAATGATTGGAGTGCATGCTGGTGCTTGTAAGATGTGAAGAAAATGTTGCTGTAGACATTTTCCGAACACCTTAAATGTTCGAGGTGCTTGCCTAACTTCTCTATTTTAAGATAGAAAGAAATGAATTTAAAGAAATAAACATATTTACTATTGGGATTTCTGTGCAAATTGATGGAGTCTCACTACTATGAGATTCCCTGCAGTTATCTACCCTCGTGGATACGTATGTTACGGGCTCTTCGTCGTTATCATGCTCTGTCACGACCGGCGCAGGTCCCTGCGAAATGCTCTGTTCATCTTCGGACGAAATTTCAGTTATCTCAATGTCTGGATGGACTCTTCGAGTCGGTGATGGCGACGATTCTTGCGCAACACTTTCGCTAACTTGTCTTACTAAAACTGGAGGGCTTCTAGATCGTCGGACAGGTGAATCTGGGACAGTACTCGGTCTGTCACTGCTTCTAAGGAAAAATGAATAGAATTCATTGAGTCATACATCCGATGAGAGTTCGAACAAAAAAAATATCATTTTAATTTTCATATTTTATTTTAAAATATGAGGAATGAATATGTCGATTGTGGAAATGAATTTATGATCGTTGTACCCAAATGAGCAGCGGATAAAATTCTTCCAAAAAAATACAATTGTGAAGCGCATAGAGAATTCTTCTGCTGAAAGTCTTGACGTGAATTGTCACGTAGAGTAGCGTGAGAAAATGGCTAGCCCGCCAGAATGGGAGTAAAATTTCAATTTCAAATTGTTTATATAAAATTGGAAAATGGACATTTGCAATAAAAAACCTTGAAGATGTGATATCCATAAATTACTTTAAAATTCAGGCCACTTTAAACAATTTAAAAAAATCAGCAATGCATTGGATTTCGCAATTGTTTTTCGACAATTCTCAAATCACTCCAAATAACTTGGACTACTTAAAGTCCGAGAAAATACAATACAAAAGTAGAGCAATAATTAGCGAAAATTCGACCATTTGACAAAACATCGGACTTTCGGTGGCGGGTCTCACAATGCCGAGCCAGCATCAGCATGACACGGTAGAGTGGGCGAGGTTCACCAACGTACGAGTAACTTCGATCACTAACTTCTGCCGTGCTCACGGCATCGTCAACGATATCTCTCGGGGAACGAAATTCGACCATTTGACAAAACATCACAATTCGAATTTTCGCCATCAACCACTCCCACTCCAATCAGCTAACGCCCTAAATTCAAACCATTAAAATCGAATTACGAACGATTAATCTTCAGTCGCGGAAAATTTGTGGAACCATACGGTTCACTTTCGTGGAGTATTAAAATTCGAGTCATATTAATCTTTAACATCGGACTAGTGCCACGGCACCGATAATAACAGTATCTTTTTGAATTACGGCGGTTAGCTAAATCTGTTAAGAAGTGTAATTTCGAATAGTTTTGTTTTTGTGTTGCTAGAGGGCGAACGAAGTGAATCGGAAGATCGCAGGGCGAGATGGGTAATGGGCATGATTACGAGAGGATGGCGGAAAAAAGTGCAAGGGATTACTAAGAGAGTTATTAAGTTGTTCTTTTATACTAATAATAAATGTGTTCTCAAATATAAACGACAAGTCTAACTGATTGCGAACTTTAACAAAATCATCTTCCCCGTAACATCGATATTTTTCGGTAAATTGATCGTCGCCTGAGATCCGCTAGATTTTTAACATTTAAGAATTTTTCTCCTTTTGTCGCACTTAAAAATCATCAAGAGCTCCCGCGGCTCCAAACGCTCTTTTTGAAACAATTTTAAAGTGTGACTTCTCTTTTCTTTCCAAATCCGAAACGCGGATTTTTGGAAATTTTGCCGGTTTTAAAATTGTAAAACCGGTCGTGTGTGTGTTTTATCCAGTGAGGCCGAAAACCATTGAAGCCCACTGTATTTTGACTGCAAATTCCGAAGCCCAGAAGACGCAAAAGAGCACCTCTGGATAAATAAAAAATTGCAACAACACACAAAGCAATTGTAAGTAACTTTGAATGTTATTTTAAATTTCATTTTCACTTTTATAATTTTTAATCATATAGAATCATAAAAACCGATCGAATAGTGTCATGAATCACGCTTTGAAACAGGAATAATAAATTCAAGTGTTGTAGAAAATCAATGGAAATAAACAACCTGAATAGATATCACAAAGTCTGGTTTTTTGGAATTCAAATGATCTTTCTTTTCCAGCGACTTTAATTAATCATTTCAGGAGAAAAAAAAAATATAGTGACTTGAAATCTACAAGGAAAAACTTCGACAAAATATTCGGGAACGAGTCCATGAGCAACACTCCGACTCAAATTATTCTTATTAACGTTAATTCGGAAGAATTTTTATTTTTAAACAATAAATAACGTCGATTCCCGACTACTAGTCCCGGACATAATAAAGAATATATTTCGGAAATGATTTTCGGCAATTGTTATCTTTCATTGCAGATTTTCGCATTATAATTGTAATTTTGCAGGTGAAACTTACAAACCAAAAATGAATTTCTGTATTTATGGAAGGAGCAAATAAATGTGCTAATTATTTCTCTGGTGAATCGCACCTTTCCACTTGTCATTTCGATTAAGTAATAGAATCTGGAACAAGAAATTAGTCGAAGAAAATTAGGAATTGTAAATACAAAAAAATTGCTGGATTTTTAATTAATTGTCCACTCTTGGCCAACATTATCGAATGTTATCCAATGAAAACCGCAGGAAAGTGGTAGAAGTCTTCCATCACGGGTAATGCGAAGGAACGAAAGGTGATACTCTGGTATATACACTTTTCCCAAGGACTGACATGAGCCTCATACAGGCCTAACTCAGATTGTTCGCTGAGCGATTGTTGAAATTTTGATCCTATGAAAAAAAACACAAAAAAACTCTTGTGAAAAAATTTTCCCAAGTGGAGATTTTATTGTATTATCATATTTTCTGTAAAATATTCTCAGTTTTATTCACAAAAAAATAGGGGAAACAAAAAAGTTTAACATGGCGAGTAACTGAGTCCAGTAATGTAAATCAAGGGAAACATCGCCATCGGAGACACTAAAGATGAAAGGGCCCTCCACAAATTGCCGGCTTGAGAATACACATAGCTGATACATGTCGTCATACGCCTATGTGTGAGCTGACTTTTATTTATCTGCGAGCACTCTTAAATTAACGATTTTGACAAAACTAGCGCCACCAACGGTAACTAGCTTCGCCAATCGCCAATTCCATTTTCGGAAAAAAGTCCACTTGGCGCGCCCGGCTTTGGTGTAAATCAGTCACACATGGCACCTTCCATCATTAGGTAATGTGTAACACAGTGTCGAGAAGGAAAACGGTAATTAATCAAGGACGTATGTTAGTTGACACTGTGTCACTCTGTGCCCCTTGATGCAAAATACCGATTGTTACCGCTCAATTCATGAGGGATGAACGCATCAGTACTTCATCATTGAATTGTAACATTAGTGACCTGGAGTAGTCACAATTCTTACTTGATTCAAATTAATATAATATTGAAGATTTATATGATTTGTAAGAGTATTTTTCCCGGGTCAACACCCCGGGATAATCCTCAAACTATTCTGGCTGCCGCCTCTATCGTTCACGATTGGGCGCCAGCCAGGTTTTTCTGGAAAACCTGACGGAAAACCAGCCGCGAAGGAATTTCGTCAACTCCGCGGACTTTCGGTGGCGGGTCTCACAATGCCGAGCCAGCATCAGCATGACACGGTAGAGTGGGCGAGGTTCACCAACGTACGAGTAACTTCGATCACTAACTTCTGCCGTGCTCACGGCATCGTCAACGATATCTCTCGGGGAACGTATCCCTCAGACTCTCGTGGAGGGATACGACCATCCCTCTCACGTGGTACTTTCTCCTCTGGGGTGGCTCAATCCCAGACAAGAAACAGATTACCTGCGAATCATTCTCACCCCGCAGGGCGCCGAACTGCTCGAGGCACATGCGACGTAGGTATCCGGAGACCTTTCCCACCCACCTAACGTCCACCCCAACTCGAGAGCTCGGTAATAGCAATCTCATCGCGAGTCAAAACTAGAGTTACTTCCCATGGAGGCGCGGGTGACCGGACCGACGGGAAACACCTTGAATCCCAGCCCTTAGTCCGCCCCAACACCATGGATTTCGCCCTAGAGATGGATCTCTGTAGCCGCGGACTCTCGTCCGTAGCCTCAAAGTAATCCATTTCACTGATCGGGGACACATAAGTGTCCCCTTCTCTCGCTATTCCAAGATTCCTTGGAACCACGTACCCTTCATAATCACGGCAGGGATTATTGCCACCAACTGATCCCGAGCTCCTAAAACATCCGCTCGAGACCAGCACTCAACGCGAACTGTCCTGAAATCTACCAAGGCCTTCTCCCCCTAGTCTGAGCATCTCAGCGACTGTGGGTCATCCGTTACCCCACAGCCACCAATCAACTCGACGGGATTCCGGGGGCGCTAGTCCTTTCACCTAGCCGTTGGTCCCTGGTCTAAGTCGACGGCGCCCTTCGGAACCACCCAGTTGAACGCCTGTACGTCGGCCCTGGACTCCCTAACACAGCTGGGTGGATTTCCGAATTGGGAAACAGCAATCGTCAGCGTCATCATAGTGTTCGGAAACATGGTCTCAGCCTACCACGTTTCTTCCCACTACGTGATTGGTCTAACGCACCTTCGGAGCGGCCTGATTGGCCGTCGTCCGATGTCATACTCATCTGTCGCTCGGCTATTTCAGCCGGCGTTAGATGTCGTTCATTTCACCTAGTTATTTTACTAGTTATATTCTCTAGTAACGAGAAAATCTCGTTACACACCCCTCTCCCTAGGAGAGGTTTCGACCCGAAACCTGTTGGTTCAGATCGCTAACTTCTGGAGAATTTCGTCTCCATTCTCTTTGGTCGGGGGATCCTCCGAGGCTTCCTTATAGGGCTTCATGTCCACTATTGAGGCGCCTTTCGGATTCCGTCCAGCTAAATCAGAGACTTCGTAAAAGTTTCTGGAATGCTTTTTCGTCACCACTAGGGGCCCATTGAATGGTTTATTCAAAGAGGCTGAGCGGTGCTTGGCAGCATTTGACAGCTCGTGGTTTCGAACTAGAACTAGTTCTCCAACCTCGAACTCTTCTTTTCTCCGACGCAAGTTATAGGCTTGTGCCTGTCGATCGTTGGCTTCCGTTAGGGCATGACGGAAGGCCATACGAAGGGTTTCGTGGCGTTTCATCCTCTCTACCCATGCTTCTGTAGGGGTTTCTTCAACCTCTACTTCTCCCTCCAGCTTTCTTCGCAATGAATCGGCTGGTTCCGGTTCACGTCCGAGGTTGACGATTGCCGGTGTGGCTTTCAGCGAGATATGTTGGACTGTATTGTACGCAAATCTAAATGCGTCCAAGTGACCATCCCAATCTCGGTGATCTGTCTCCACGTAAGCTCGTATCATCGCTTTTAGCGAACGGTTCACTCTCTCGGTGGGATTCGCTTGTGGATGATACGGTGGAGTCGTTCGATGCTTCATGTTGGTTGAAGCTGCGAGCTGTTTCAAGTCCTTGTTTACGAACTCGGTACCATTATCGGTCAGCAATTCCCGAGGAGCTCCCCATCGATAGATGATTGTCTCCTCTAATGCTTTCCGGATCGTTGCGCCCGTTGCTTTTCGTAACGGTCGAACTTCTATCCACTTCGTGAAGAAGTCTTGGATAATATATATTGGTTCCCCGTTTTACTGCGTGTAAACGGGCCCATTATATCCGCCGATATACGTAACCATGGGTGCTTGATGGCTCGAGGTCCCATTGGTCCTATCGGTGTCTTTTGTTGCACTTTGCAGCGCTGACATTCGTGACACGTACTGAGGTACGTCATCACGTCTTCAAACATTGCTGGCCAATAATATTGGGTGGCTAGGCGATGGCAGGTCTTCTCGGCACCTTGGTGTCCGGCGTGTGTGGTATCGTGACATTCACGAATAGCTCCACGACGTAACTCTCGAGGGAGGACTAACTTCCACTCATTCAGATCGTTATTTCCCACTGACGCTATTGCTCTTGGCCTTCGGTGGTATAACATCCCTTCAGAGATTTTCCAACTTTGGTATTTCTCTGGAACTCTTTCCACATCTCGACAGCGGCGCAGGTACCATTTATCATTGGTTTCCAGTGCGGCTGTGAGTGACTCTGTCACGGCCTCAGGGGCACGTGATAAGGCATCTGGTACGTGGTGTAACGCACCTTTCCGGTGTATGATTTTATAATCGTACTCCATCAGCCTTAGGTTCCACCTCGCGAGTCTTCCAGCGGGATCTTTCATATTATGAAGCCACCGCAGACTGCTGTGATCCGTTATGACCGTGAAGGGATAACCCTCCAGGTAACAATGAAACTTTTCTACGGCCCATACGACCGCTAGACACTCTTGCTCCGTCACCGTATATTTGGTTTCGGGATCCGTCAGGGAACGGCTAGCATAGGCTATTACGCGTTCCTGTTCTTCGTGCACTTGCGTGAGTACGGCTCCCAATCCTACACTACTTGCATCAGTTTGCAGAGTAAAGTGTAAGGAGAAGTCCGGACACGCTAGTGTAGGGGCTGATGTGAGGTGCTTTTTCAGCGCCTCAAAGGCCTCCTGCTGTTCGGTTTCCCAGACCCATGGTTGCTTCACCTTGGTTAAGCGTGTCAAGGGTTGGGCCACCGTGGCGAACTCTGGTATAAAACGTCTATACCAGGAAGCCATTCCTAAGAATCTCCGAATTTGTTTTAGATTCTTGGGTGCGGGGAACTCGACGACCGCTGCGGTTTTATCCGGATCGACTTGTAACCCTGCGCTGTTCACGACAAATCCGAGGTATTTCACCTCGGTTCGGCAGAACACGCTCTTTTCACGGTTTATGCTTAGCCCGTGGTCTCTTATCTTATCCAGTACTCGTCCGAGCCACTCTAGGTGGTCCTGGAATGTGCTTGAGACGATGATAATATCGTCCAAGTACACGAATACCTGAGGGTACATCTCTGGACCTATGATTTTGTCCAGCGCTCTTTGGAAGGTTGCTGGGGCGTTCGTGAGGCCATATGGCATTCGTTCGAACTGAAAGAACCCTCTTCCTGGTACCGTGAAAGCGGTGATCTCCTTAGAGTCCTCCGCTAGCGGTATTTGCCAATACGCCGCACTCAGATCTAGAGTGGAGATGTAATTGGCTTGCCTTAACTCGTCAAGGATTCCAGTCATGTTAGCGACCTAGGCATCCTTTTTCGTGACTTCATTAACCCTGCGGAAGTCGATACAAAATCGATATTTCCCGTTGGGTTTCTTTACCATGACGACATCTTTGAGCATGTCGTCAACCTCTTTCCACATCGCTAATTTCAAGTGATGGGAGGCTAATCTGACTCTCTGTCGAATTGGTTCGTGGCCTTCCACGTCAATTCGGTGAGGTGTCAGTCTGGAAATCGGAGGACTTCCTTCTATTACTGGAATCTTTCGTTCCAGCATCCTCTGGAGCATATTATGCTGCTCTTCTCCCGGCGTTTTGAGGCCATTACACACTGTTATGTGACAGGCTCTCTCCACGGCTACGAATCTGAACGACTCGCTGGGCTTGTCCCTGAAAAACCACGACTGGTCGAAGAAATCTATGACCATGCGGGCCTTTTTCAGGAAATCTATTCCTAAGATGAAATCCTCGGATAGCGAAGCCATCCAGAGGGTTTCCACCTCGACTTCTCGTCCGCCAACCCTTAAGGGTATCGTGGAGGCATCATTCACCACTTCAAGTTGGCTGTTGGCCACAAGTACTCGTCGTGGGGGAATTCTTTTCGCGGGAATGCCTAACTCCCGTAGCAAATCAATTCCCGCTTTTCCAGCGAAAGTTCGAGATGCCCCGGAGTCCACTAATCCCTGTATCTTTTCCCCGTGGATACTTACATCCACATGGAAGGCTAATGTTTTGCCCTCTTTCATCGCTTGTCTGAGGGCCTCCCAACTTGAGATTTCCTCCTGCGAGATACTTTTCCAAGGGTCCGTCAGGTAGAAAATGAGACTTTCGCCTTTTACCTCGTCCCTTGGCTCCTTGACTGGAGTTGCCGTTGGCGTTGTCGGCCTTGGCACTCGCTCCTCAGTCTCTGGGAGTTTTTCCTCCTCTACGACTGTTATTTCCGAGGTCTCCGGCAGCGTAATCTGAGTGTCTACGCGGCCGACTCCACGTTCCCCGGATTGCATCTAGGGCACTGGGGAAAGTGGACATTCTTTCTGCCACATACGTAGCAGAAAACCGTCCTGGCTTCTGTGCATAGGCGCAAGGAGTGTCCTCTCTGGTCGCAATTATGGCACTTTAATCCAGCTGGGTTTGGTCGACTGGCGCCGGGTCTGGCATAGCCAGTACCTCCACCCCTCCCTGAAGAGGCACCGCGACTTTGCAAGGCGTGTGCCACTTCTAACTCTTCGAAGAACAAATTCGCCTCTTCGTCTCCCTCGAACGTTTCTGGGTCGGTTTCTTGGTGAGTCACCGACCTGATCGCCGTTCTGTTTGGATTTCTCTGTGTTTTATTACTTCGGTACGCGAAGCTGGGACAGAGAGATTCCTCTGGCTGCCTAGCGGGCTGCCATTTCTTGGCGCTTGCGTACAGGGTTTCCTGTCGCATCGCGTGTCTTTCCAGGGCCTTCGTCGTTGTATTGGCACCGAGATTGAATCCTATTCGGAACTTGGGTAACGTATTATGGTACATATACGTTAACCTCTGTTGTTCCGGCCATGGTGGATCCGTTCGGGCGAAGAGTCCCTTTAGATTAGCCACAAATTGGGCTACGGGCTCGTCTTCGCCTTGGCGACGGCTTCCAATTTCTTCGTGGAGGGCTACCTGGTAGTCCAACTCCCCGAAGTTCTCTCTGAAGGCGTGACATGCGTCTTCCCACGAGTATACTTCCACCTGGCGGTACCACGTGAGTGCGTGTCCGCCCAAGCAACCTCTCAATACCCCTAATAAATCCGTTTCCCGGATTCTGAGGGTCTTCATGGCATCGTCGACTCGGGATATGAAATCTTCCACATCCTCGCCCTGTCCTCCTGAGAACTGAACCCCCCATTTTTTCAAGGCCTCCAGAGCATTTTGGGTGTTCAAGTAGTTCTCCCTTCGTGGGTGATATTCGCACTCACTTGCTTCATCCGACGAATATCTCTGCCTCCTCGGAGGTGCAGGGTTTCGTTCGTTGAAGGCTGGTCTTTCCCTGGCGGGAATGTGCCGATGCCTTTCCCTTTCTTGCTCGTTTACGAGTCCGTCATCGTTATTTTTCGTTGGGCCTATCCGCCCGCGGAGCTCTCTATCGAGGCGTTGCACCTGAGCCAATAATTCGGCTGCTGTTGGTGTCGCCTTCGTGATTTTCACCCCGGGAATATCTTCCGTGGGTGTCACGGCGCCGCTAGCATTCCTGCTGCTACGACCGCTTCCATTTTTGCTCCCTGGCGGTCTCACTCGTGGTCGAGGGGCGGAATTTTCATCCCGGATCGCGAGGGTGCGAGCCTGTTCCACGAGTACTCGTGTCTGCTCCAGGAGGGTTTTCAGTGCTGCGGCACTGGCATCCTCCTTCTTCAAAGTTTTTGCAGGAGGTTTCTTACCTTGCGCAACTTTCTTTTTGGCTGACAGTAGTTTTTGGCTGTCAAGCCCCTCCTCCTCGGATTTCTCCTCACATGCTGAGAAGTCCTCCTCGGTCTCACTACTTCCTTGTCGCTCGTCGTAACGATCATTACCCCGAGAGTTGCCAGACCTTCCGGCTTCCTCTAGAGGATATCTCCTCGGGTTGGTACCCTCTGGGTCTACCATCTCCGTTTCTTCTCCCTTAGGCGATTTCTCGACCTTTGATGGATCAACTTTTGGTGCCATTTTTGGTCCCCAATGCTTTTCGAGTTTCGCAGACGTATTACCTCACGCGTCTCTCGACAAGAAAAATAACTTCTGCCCGTTTGCGGCTCTTTTATACCGTTTTGCGGGTGGAATTTATCCTTTCTGCTTCTTTTTACCAGTAGCGCCACCTTAGCTACGTTTCTGCTCGATTAGGAGTGATTTTTCCCTTTCGTTGGCGATCGGATAAGGTTTTTATTATTTTTCCCTATCCGTGCGCCTTCGGATCTTTGAATTTTGTCCTTTCGGCGACCTCTCTCGAATTCATTTTACTTGAATTCGTTCACTTCAACTTTTAAGTTCAAATTTGAACCTGGTGGTTCCATCTCTCGGTATCTTCCGTGGGAAGCGCTACCATATGATGGCGTTTCCCACCTGTCGGTAATCATCCTCGGCCGATAATTCAGGTTTTTTTATTCTCGACCGCGATCTGGGTCACTTTTTAGTCGGTAATCGAGTTTTCCTCCTTACCGACTGTCAGGTGTGTCCGGTACCTTACCGACGGTTGGCCGAGTGCGGTACCGACGGTAGGTTTTACTTATGGGGAGACGCTAGATGGCACCTGCTACCCGCAATCGTGCTTAACCACCTGTTGTGGTTTCAGCACGTGCTAAAATATTTAATTATTTTATATATATTTTTTTTTTGTTTGTTCGCTTTCGGAGTTGTCCAGACTCCTACAACGAACTTTTCACCCTTTGTGTGGACTCTTCAATCCACGGGCATTACTTTTCCCCCTTTCGGGGGTAGGAGAGGGTTGTGTGGTCTTTTCAGACCACTCATTCTCCTTCTATTCAGCCCTAAAAAAAAAACATCACTGAAAAAAAAAACTAAAAAAAATTTTCAAAAAAAAATGGCCGTTTAGGTTCCACCAGTCTGACTCAGACTGGTTTCTCCTCTTTTTCCGTGGATGGAGTTTCCTCCATTTTCTCCACTGGATTAAGAGTGAGTTGTTGAGCCTTTCGGCGCAACTTCCTCAACTCCTTTCTCCTCGTCCTTGCCTCCTCCGACCTCCTGGAGGTTTTTGGAGTCCTGGACCTTTCGGGCTTCTCGGAGGCGGGCTTCGTCTCAGCCCTTTCCCTCCGTTGTAGTTTTTTCACCTGGTCCATCGCTTTGAGGATGTCCCTAGGAACATTCCTCCCAAACTCTGGAATCCAGGGACCCCTCGCCTTCTTCTGCTTCTGGCAGATCGGGCAATCCTTCCTTTCTTTGCCGGGCCTTCCACACCCCCTGCAATAGGTGGTGGGCGATTCCCGGCACTCCTTGCCGCTGTGTCCTGGCTTGCGACAATTCCAGCATAATCTGGCTGGCGCAAGCCCGGTGCGACTCCTCTTCCTCGCCGGCTCGTCCTCGGGGTGAGGCTCGGAGGCGAGTTGAGAAGCCCTGGAGATGATCTCGACATCACCAGGGGTCTTCCGCTTTGGGATTCTCGCCCCTGAGGACGATCCCGAGGGCCCCTCACCACCATGCTGCAACAGTTGGCGATGAACAAGGGCTTCTTCTCCCAAGGACTTTTGAGTCCTTGGGCGAGGGAGTTTCTTCCCCTGCGGCTCCTCCTTCTCCTCCTTCAGGGCTGTCTTTGTCCTCTGGGCCTCCGAGGATTGCGACGACGCCTGAGGAAAGAGAGGGAGGACCTGTTCCGCCACTTTGCCTAAAAGCTGTGGATTACGCGTCAGCGCCTCCACGAGCGATTTTAACAAAGCAGCGTCGGCTGCTTCGGAGGAAGGATTCGCCCCCGTCTTCTCCACCCCCGCTGGTCGTTGAGGCGGCGTTCTCTTCTCCGGTGGAGTGGTTTCTTCGCGAGGTGTGGGGGTGAGCACCGTAGTGGTCACCTCCTCCGTCGTGGCCACCTCCATCGGCTCATCCTCGTTGCCTTGCAGCAACGCGTGCAGGGACTCAAACTCCAGATCCGAAAGGCTCCGATCTGGAATGTGTAACTGCATTAGTTCTGGTATTATCAAGTCGTCATCACTCAGGGGTGACGCCAACTCGAAAATGGCTGCTCCCGTGACAGGTAAAACCATATCACGGGTGTCGATTGTCTCTTCTGAGACAAACAAACCTGTCTCGGCGAGTCCAGCAGTTTCCACTGCCTTCTGCACCAGCTTGTCGAGGGTTGCGTCCTTCGTCATTTTTTTTTTTTTTGGCACTGAGTCACCAAACTTTTCTCACTAAGAGCACTTGAAATTTTCCGTCCGTTCGCCAAGACGTACGTAACGAAAAAGGACGCTCTTCGTGGTTATCTCACAGGACTTACGGAAAGTCCTGAGTGGGGAGATAAGGGCTGACCCAGATTAATTAGATCGCCACAGGTGGTTCCCCCCAGTGACACTT